GTCATGCTGTTTGGCGTCGACCGCCGATGCGATGACTGTCACCAACAGAGCCAAAGATAAGCACTTCTGCAGCGGATAAGTCATTGCCAGACGACAGACACAAACACTGAACCCACGGATCACTTCTTATGGCCAAACACTTCTCATCACACAATCAGTCGAGCGATGGGTATATTGTCCGCCAATTAACCACTCATTCAGTGCTGTATTCAATGCAAACAAATCACACAATGGTGTCAATTATGAGACAATTAATGACCACTTGTTTTGTTAGTGATGTTTATGTGGACATCCATTGAGCCATCTTTGACACCAGCCATCACATAGTGTTGAGTCAATACACGGCTCAACACTTCCACTCCAGTCACCACTTAAGACAATATCAGATATACATGTCGTCACAAAATGGATATTTTATAACAATTTAAATTCTGGTCATTCATTTTGGGGTTAAATTAGTTTTTAAGATAATAATTAAAAGTTTTCAATGTATTGTGGAGTCAATACAACACTAGTTTTATGGATTACTATTGAGTGAGTGTTAGCGCAAAAGGTGTCGCTTTTGGTGAGGATTTTGGTGTCAAATAAAAACAAATTGAAAGACTCATTGAGAAACTGAATGATTGAATGCATAGGAATAGCACAGTATTCTCGTGTATGCCATACAATATGTGTGAATATTTTCCTATTTATTTAGCAGATTCTTATCATTTCTAGTATTTACTACACATATGATTGGCATTCAAACTGAATTACGATAGGAATGCAATTAATTGTCAAATATATAATTTTTATGTCAATAGTTTTTGAGCAAACAATAAATCTAATGATAGTATGTTTAACTTGTTTGATTAGTTGGCAAACAATTAATTGTTTTAGGCAATAAATGCCCACACATTGAAACAGATTTTTGCAATTTACATTTTAAATGGTTATAGGAACTCCATAGGGATACAGGATCGTAAAATTATTTTTTTGAGCAAACTTTAGCAAATAAATCTTATATCATATTAGTAACGGTATATATCTATTATTTATGAATAAGGGGTTTATATGGGAATGACAAAATTGTCTGTCAGTTAATAGGCTATAAAAAAGTATGAATGTCTGAAAGTTTTTGATATTTGCTACCCAACCCTTTTAAACAGAAATGAAAACGTATGATTATTGTATAATTTGTATTATATTATATTACTACTTTGTATGATAGTTTATTGAAAGATTAATTACTCGTTTGTTTGTGCTTTTTTTCAATGAAAATCTCTCAGATTTGAGTCAATTTTTCATTTGTTAAGATCTCAAGTAGTAATCAATCGATAGTGTAATCGATAATTAGCTATTAAATGAGGTAATCATTAAGAAATGTTTGCTTTTGAGTTTGAAAAATTGTTTTTCTCAATACATAGCCTGTTATTATAAATTCAATATTTGTTTGGCGTTTAGACGTTTTAAAAGTATAATTTTACAGCAAAAAACTTCAACATTTTTGTTTTACTAAAGAATTTTAAAAATTAGATTTCATTTGTACTTTGTTCGTAGTATACAGTATATTACATCTGTGACATAATATTATCATTATATGTATAAATATTATGAACATACCAATTTATGCCTTTACACACAGTTTTCTCAAACAAGAATCTCATTTAACAAAAACAAAATTCATTTCAAAAAATAACTTTTTTAAATGAGACGACTGAATGACAGGCATTTAAATATGTCAGTAAACTTAGCATTTGCTGTATTAGCGAATGTATGTTATATGAAAATATATTTTGTATAAAAATAACACAAAAATAGAATTTCATTAGAATTGAAATGAAAATATTATTTTCAATAATAGACAGAATGCTTGCGAACCATATGTTATAGCATTTATTTTATTAATATTTTTCTGTGGGGACTAACTCTTATTAAGTCTTTTTCATACAATAATAAATATTGAACGTATAGTTTTTCAAAGTTTTTTCAATAAAGAACCCGAACTTTTTCAATTTGTATTTCAATATGTTTTCCCATTATTTACTATAGACCTTATTATGCCGTGTATTGTATTGACTTATAATAGAGTTGTATTGTGTGTGAAGTTTTTCTCAATTGTTTTCGATTATAAAGTTATCTCCAAATAAGTCGCTCTTAAACTTAATTATCATATTTGAAATACTGGTGTATGACTGAAGAGGACTTGTATTATGCATATAATAGAGCTTTTTATTTGTATTTCATTTTTACTGCCTTTCCTTCTAAACGCCAAAAGTCCTATATATCCTAAAAGAGTAGAAAACCCCCTTTAATACGAGAGTTTTGGTGTTTCATAAGTAGGTATACAAAAAGTTCAATAACAATAAAATAAACAAATTCTAACCAATAATTTAATTGTTTATAAGTCAAGTTTTCCCTTTTATTGAATATAAGCTAAAATTTGAATAATTTATCGATTTTTCATAAAATATTTATTTTTTCTGTGTTTATACACTCGTATCGTGACGACATTGAATAAAATATTGAATATCGTTATCTTAATTGAAGTTTTATTATTAGAAATTATTATAATTTATACCAAATTAAACGCTTTTAATATGCATTTTTGAGCGACTAATTGTGAAAATGTTAAAAAATATAATTAATAATAACATTAGTAAATTAAACTCCCCGACACATTTATTACTTAAATATACGTTCAATAAAACGAGTGCTTATTATTAGAGAGAGAGAGAGAGAGAGAGAGAGAGAGAGAGAGAGAGAGAAAGTGAAAGTAGTTTTTCAGGTAAAATAATTTATAAAAACAACAGATTTTTGACAAATCACCAAAATATTAACAACGTCAATTTGAATAACTAATTCACTAATAAACTAATAAAACTGAACAACAAATTATACAGTATATGGCGATATAAATCTCCATCGCTTACTACAATCCGTGACAAAACAATTAGTGGTGTTATTCCTCCTCATCAAAGGCCTCAATTCATTCATCAATATGTCTTAGAAATTAGGAAATACTTCATCTTTTATGCCGAATTACAGTATAAACATTGGGTGCAACCGATCATCTCTGCTCACGATTACTCATATAATGAGACAAAAGCGGAAACAAATGTTATTTAATTGAAAACAATTACTTAATAGAGAAAAATATTGTCCGCATCTGTAAGCCTATGCCTACACTCCTATTGTCTACAGAATAACACAACGATTATTGAATGCAATGCAACGATGAGTGCAATAATATGTGGAACTAAACTGGTTTTCAATGCGAGAACAGTATTACGTGAATGTATAGCCGATGTATGAATTAAAATATCATAACTTTTCTTTTAATTGTTATATTCATGTGTTTTGCGTTCAGTTATACCCTTCTCTGTCAAACACTGGATTATGAATAAGTCTAATATTTTTTCGTGTCATTCAATACAGTGCAACAACACAATGGTTATAATGGCTTGTATTTAGACAGCTTCGCAAATCTGGTTTACCTTCAATGCTATGATTAAGCGTTTAGGAAATGCATACTTCAATAGCACTAAACATATAAATTATGACTAAAATCAACACTTTCCGCAGATATTGAAATGTTTTTTGAATTCTTGAAATCCACGGGAATAAAAGGTTTGGAGATTTTGCAAAAAATTTTATGACTTTTGTGCGTTAAAAGAGTGAATTATTGTAAACGGTTTTTACTTTTTACTCCCAGTACTGTATGATTTAATATAATATAATACAGTAAGTATATATTTTATTATAGGAATTCTCTGAAAAATAGCTGTTTGAATCGCGATATGAAATATGACTACAAAACCAAGTGTTAAAGTCTACGAAAAATACAATAACATTTTACAACTATTGTGAGTTTTGTTGGCTAAACATTTTAAGCGTACAATTTGTTGGCATTTATGAAAACAATGTTTTATGCGATACTCTAGTGAAGACCTACCGAGTGATGGGAAAAAGCTCTGATTTAGTGTCTCAGTAAAGAGTTTTCTCAATCAAAACATGCATTTGTGTCAATGGGCTAAAACATATTGTATGGTAAACTGGTATTCATATTAGACATTAAGCCATTAGCATACTTCAATAGCACTAAACATATAAATTATGACTAAAATCAACACTTTCCGCAGATATTGAAATGTTTTTTGAATTCTTGAAATCCACGGGAATAAAAGGTTTGGAGATTTTGCAAAAAATTTTTATGACTTTTGTGCGTTCAAAGAGTGAATTATTGTAAACGGTTTTTACTTTTTACTCCCAGTACTGTATGATTTAATATAATATAATACAGTAAGTATATATTTTATTATAGGAATTCTCTGAAAAATTGTTGTTTGAATCGCGATATGAAATATGACTACAAAACCAAGTGTTAAAGTCTACGAAAAATACAATAACATTTTACAACTATTGTGAGTTTTGTTGGCTAAACATTTTAAAATTTGTTTAGATTGGGTAAAATTTGTTGGCATTTATGAAAACAATGTTTTATGCGATACTCTAGTGATGGGAAAAAGCTCTGATTTAGTGTCTCAGTAAAGAGTTTTCTCAATCAAAACATGCATTTGTGTCAATGGGCTAAAACATATTGTATGGTAAACTGGTATTCATATTAGACATTAAGCCATTCCAAGGGCAGAGACACACATAAGAATTACACTCAGTTTTCACGGAGTTTTCACGGAGTTGTCATATGGTGTTTGAGTGGCTACGAGTGCGCCCACCGATTGCCTCTCAACTTGTTTTTTAAAAGCAAAAGAAGTCTTATTTAATAACTTATTGCTTGAGTTCTCAGTAAAAGACTTATGTTGTGAACGAAATTCGGATCACGTCTTCGGTTTGATTTAGTTTTTTTTGTTTCACTCGAAAACTTCGCTAAAGTTTTACTCGAAACTAATGATGAAAACTCACAACAAGTACTCATCGAAGTCTTAAATGCAAATTGACATCTCAAATGTTCTCATTTATATATTCAACCGAGAAAAAAGTTATAATTATTTTTTAATGTCAAATTACTCTCACTCTCGTAACGTTTGGTGAACTTAAATAAGTTATATATTTTCGCAAACACGACAAAAATGTTTGACAAACGAAATAAAGTCTTACTGAGGAGTGAATTAATATTTTTAAACTTTTTAATTACTATTTTCATGATAACATGCGCTCCCGTATCACGCGGGGAGTTGTGTTCAGTCAGTTTAGTGCCAAATCAGTTGACAGCTAAAAGATACGAGGAGTCCATGATTACCATCCTATGTGAGGCCACTCTGGACGCCAAGCAGACCTCCCAGTCCTCTCAATTCACGAATCCAGTGTTCGACCTGTCGTTTGGAGGGGCGCCCCGGACAGGGGTTTTCATACTCCGGGGTAATGTCTCGTGCGATGAGTCTCGCCGCAGGTGTTGGAGTGAATACAGAGTGGCCGCCAATAGTGTCGGTCATCTGATCCAACACACCGGACAGATAGCCTACTTGTGTCAGGTGGCGGATCAGCTCAAGAATGCCGACAATAAGAGTCTGGCCCGATGTGAGAGCAGAGGATCCATTACCTTCAGTAATGGTAAGAAGTTTTTGATTATTAAGTAATTTTACACAAAAAAATGATTTGATCTTTGAATAAAAATTACGAAATTATGCCATTTTAGTAATTAAATGAATTCAAACATTTCTTAAGGCGTTGTAGAGTTTAATATAAGAAATTAAATGACTTTAAAATCAATTAATTGAAAGTAATATAATGTTTGTTTGAAACTCAATGCACGGATTTATTATTATTTACTTTAAAAATTGAAATTATTTCATATTGATCTCAATTTTTTAAAATTAAATAAAACATTAAATAAAATATATGTAATAAAAGTTTATTTAATAAATTAAGGCATCGTTTGATTGACACAGAATTCACTCAAACTCTCTGATCCTAATGATAGGACCGAAAATTAAAGCAATATTTTGATTAATATTGTATATAATGAACGCTAATGTAAGACATATTTTGACAATTGATTTGAAACTGAACTAAAGCCTTGGGTTTTCATTAAGAAAAAAATTTGACAAATTTTAATTCAAGTGACAGACTTTGTTTGTTTATTGTTTTATTTAACTAAAAATTATGGGTCATTGAAATGATTTGAAATTTTTTAATATCAACTCTTTGTGTGATTTAATCAGAAGCTCTTTATAATTATTGATTTTTATAGATGTAGTCAACAAACAGTGATTTATCAATACATTAATCAAATAATTTATTTCTTTTCTTATCAAATAAATTACTCCTTATTTCAATCAAGAGTTGTATTTAATTGAAAAAATTGATTTAAATTACAGTTATATGAAAACCGCAAGAAATTGATATTAAGCTTAGATATATGTAAAAGAATTTCAAGTATTTTTTGAAGTGTTTGTCACAAATTTGATTTATTAAGAATAATTTCATGTTTTAAATGTAGACTTTCCTCAATGTTTTGCTAAAATATTATACAACTTCTCGAAAATCGTATGACATTCAATTGATGCAAATCTTGGAAATTATAGTAAATGTTAACATGTGTCGAGTAAATGCATTATTAAAAATATCCGCACATAGAGTGAGAGAATATCATTTTGATTTGTATTTTGAAAAAAGATTTTTGACCTCAAATTCAGTTTAGGTTTGTCTGTAGTATTAATGCATTGGATTTATATTAATAAATCAAACCCACTCTCCAAAGACAATCAGATAAAACATTATTTAATTTCTCACAAAAACTCCATCAACACTAGTATTTCCGATCAACTCCTATAAACTGATTATACATTCAGACAGTCTTTGCCCACAATTTCGCGTACTTTGAGTGATAGAGGAATTTTGAGAGCATTTTTATATTCTGTTTATTATTTCTGTAATTTGTTTTGCATTCAAATCAGCAATCAAACAAAAGCTTATAAATATAAATCTATTCATTAAACTCTTTTTCATAGACAACATTTAAATATTTTCTGAAACAATATTTATTATAAATTTTCTACATATCAGTCATGATTTAATAGCTATTTATAGAAATTGTTTTAAAAGTCTATATAAAGTCAATGTTTTTAAATGAAGTGATAAACACTTCCTGTCCATCATTCTTAGCACTTGAAAAAACTATTTCACTTATTTTTAATAGCATTTCATTCAATAAGAAGTTTCCTTTTGGGTGTTTGGGAATATAATTTGAATAAATTAATTTGTATGTTGTTTAAAATATTTATTAAAAGTCAGTCATTGACTCAAAATATTTATAAATTATCGATCGCTTATGAATAATTACAATAATTATTGTAAATAATGAATATTTAAAAAGACAAATAAAATTTAAAATAAACTGAAAGCTAATTCCATATTAAAGTATTATATTTAAAAGTAATATAAAAACTGATTTTGTTTAATATTTTCTTTGTAAATTAAATGTTATCTAAAATATTATTTTATTGTTGTTTTAGTTGTAAGATATGGTGAGCGGTGTGGGACAGGGGTCGGGGAACAGGAATGTGGCCGTAATATGGAGTGCGGATCACCGGAAACTGAATCTGAAATCCAAAGACAATGCGTTTGTAAGACTGGATTCGTATCCATACCCGAGACCAACAAAAACACCATTTGTTTAGAAGAAGGTTTCAAACAATTCATACAAATTAAGCCATTTATTCAAAATACCCTTAAAATTGCTTTTGTTTAATAGCGTCGTTGGGCTCAGTCTGTAATTACACGAAACAGTGCTCAGCAGTGGATCCCAACTCTGTTTGTGACGATAATTATTATCACAGAGTTTGCAAATGTAGTCAAAACTTCGTTGAATACAGTGACTATGAAAGAAAAAAATGCAAACTTAAGTCAAAACCGACAGTCAGTCCCAGTCATGAGGATGAGTCCACTGGAGTTGTGACCATTGGTTCAAAAGTTGATCCAAAAAGTGACAAAAGGAGTGAAGATCTCAAACACGACACCGAATTAAGCGGTAACTTCACGACTACTCCCAATCATAATGAAAAGACTGGAAGTATTGGAATTATATTATTCTTTGTGGCCATTGTATTGGCCATTGCCATCGTTGTCATTATCATCAGGTTATTATCTCGTAGTTACTAGTCTCTCTCTCTCTCTCTCTCTCCCCTTTAACTCCTTTAATGATACAATTTTTGGATTCAAATACAGAGTAAGGAATAGAAGCGACAAAATGGTGATCAATAAGAGGCGGACAACTGAACAGCAAACGGATGACAACGACGGCGAACAAAGTGAGCCAATACTCACCACCGATGGTAAGGAAGGGGTGGATGAGGTGGACGACACTCAGTCCAGGACTGATGACAATGCAACTGATGAACAGATCCACAATAAGATTAATACCAATAATAATAATGAGTCGCAAAGAGTTCAGACAAATGTGTGAACAAATCCATTGATGACAGCATTTACACCAGAATTTTATAAGACATCCAAACGTTTAGCAAATTATAACAGAATTTATATGAATTTGTGTAAAGAATTAATCTTAATATACATTTAATATGAATAATTCATACTTTTATATTCATATATGATATAAATGATCAGATTATCAGTATACATTTAATTTGAAGCAAATTTCAATATAATTTATTTAAATTTAGATAAATAT